ACAGGCACAAAGTGGCAGAGAAATTCCAGTTTCTCTTGCAGACAGAAGGCTCCCAGATGCCAGGATGACGTCAGGTCTGTTTGGAGGAAGTTCTGGCGCCCAAGCAACCAGGTATGCTTTAGCCGGGTGCAGCCATCTCATTCCTCACCACCTTGAATTTATTTTTCCTCTTTTTTTTTTTTTGCTTTACTTCTCTTTTCCCTTCACAAAGTCCTGGGATTACAATTCCCCAGAAAGTCTTGGTTTACAATCTTTGCCTCAGGATCGGTTTTCTAGGGAACCCACGCATACACAAACACCATTAACTTTTGGGGGGATCGAATCACAGTTCCTGAACTGTGCATGGAGGTGCCTGGGTCTCTGCAGCGAATTCCCAGGGGCCCTGCAGGACATCTGAAATATTCGAGGGCCATGCAATGACACGCAACATCGGTTCAACACCATGCAAACGACGAATTCAATGGAGTTGACTGTTTCAACCTCGGATCACGCTACATTCTTTCAATGACATCATTATTTTGGCAAAGCTGGGTTTTCAGTGGTTGCTCTTATAGAAAGCAATACCATGTGCAAATCAGTGTGGAACAGGAAATGAGGGTGGTGGTGTCTAACATGATTCTAAGGTTGGAGAACTTGTGCCGTGCCCATTACTATCCTGTTATTCAGTAAGTGTGGCTATTAAGGAATGAAATACAAAATTTTTTTTCCTGTCCTTTTATGTGTATTATTTTTTTAATCAGCTACTAAAGTTGTTGAGACATAGTTATTAAATTGTTAGTGCCTAACTACCTAAGAAACATAAATATTAGGTTCTGTTGGCCCAGAGTTTCCAGGAAAAAGAATTACGAAGGGTTTCATGAACTGAACGAGTTTGGGAACCTCTCAGGGAGAGTGTCCCAGGTGGCAAAAACAGCGAATGTAAAGATTGGGAGGCCGGACACAAGCTCAATCTGGAAACTTCCCTTTTTTTCCTTTAGTGACAATATGTTCATAAGCTCTATTATCCTTAGGTGGGTCAATCAGTAGCTGAGATCCTAAAAGTGTGTGTGGGCGTGTGGTTTACACCTGTTACTTGCTTTTTTTAAAAAAAACCAACAACCATGATTCTGTGTTATTTCCTAAAAATACTTGATTGCTACATACATTTAAAAAATGTTAAAAAAAGGTTAAACACAATGTTCTTTTTATTACTGATTTTGCAGTCTTATCTAAACTTCAAAGAAATTTTCACCTGGCTGGTGTGGCTCAGTGGTTGAGTGTTAACCCATGCACCAAGAGGGTGCTGGTTCGATTCCTGGTCAGGGCACATGCCCAGGTTGTGGGCCCAATCCCCAGTGGGGGGCATGCAGGAGGCAGCCAGTCAATGTTTTCTCTCAATGTTTACTAAAATTTTTTCTTCTTTCTTTAAAACTTCATGCTTGCAGTCTTTTTTGATCAGGCCTAGAATTTAGGATGCTCAATTTGGTATATAAAACAGGGGCAAGACCTGTTTTAGAATGAAGAGTAATTGATAATAGAAAAATGAAGATAAAAGCCCACCGAATGGGGCATGGCTTTGGGTCCAGTGATGGAGATACTGAAAAATAATATATGAAAAATAATTTAGGCAATTAATCCTATATTCACAAACATTGAGGTTGTTTTCGATCTTAAATGTTTTGTGGACACCTCCAAGGATAGCAGAGGACATATTCCTGGAGGCAGAAGGGCTAGGTTAATTAGTTGTGAATTTCAAATACTGATGGATATTGACAAATTGTCCAGCTGAGGTCTGAGATTAGAAGTGGGATGTTTCAGGATACCCAGAGAAGCTCATTTTCTTGTTTATGTTACTCAAAATCATAGAGATGCATATTTAAACCTGAATGTCAATTTCTTTTCCTATAACTGGAATGCTTCTGACCCATTTCCAAGGGGTCCACTTTTTAGAGTCAAGGTAACTAGGAAGTTGAATAAATAATTACAAGGTTGCTTAGTAACCATTGAAAAACAAAAAAGAAAATAAATTGTCTAAAAGGATAACTGATATTTTAAGTAACTTTTCAGAAGGCCACTCACAACAAAAATATATTTGACTTAAGCTGAAATAATTGTGCTTCTCAGTTGTAGGGTTTCCTCTTTGTTTTAAATGTGGGTGTATGTTCAAAGACCATTTTTTTTTTTTTATCTGACTTTCTTGTGTTTAGCAGCCCATTTTTGTTGATACACTCTAAATATGCAAATACACACCTGATTGGTGTGGCTAGCTTTCCTGTTTGGCTGGGAGACATTCTGTCTCCTGTCGGTATGTATTGATTTAATCAGGCAAAAACTCAAGATTCTAGCTAGGGCCACTCAACTCTGTTATAGCGTCCCTCTTTTTTCCTGTAAATGATAGTATACTAAATACACCGAACCCAGATTTTCCTCTCCAGTTAACATTTTTGGGATTGTTTTATATTAGCATGTATCAATATACCTCATTCTCTTCAAGGCTGCAGAGAATTCCTTTGGATGAAAAATAATTTAGGCAATTAATCCTATATTCACAAACATTGAGGTTGTTTTTGGTCTTAAATATTTTGTGAACACCTCCAAGGATAGCAGAGGACATATTCCTGGAGGCAGAAGGGCTAGGTTAATTAGGTTGTGAATTTCAAATACTGATGGATATTGACAAATTTCGCAGCAGAGAGACTATACCAAACAATGCTAACAATCTGAGACGCTGTTGGTTTTTCTACCGTATCCCCATTAGCATCTATTATCACATTTATTCTAATAAATGGCATCTTATTATAGTTCAAAATTTTATTTTATAATGAGCGAGTTTGAGCATATATTTATAAGCTCGAAGCCATTTATATTGTTGTTCTAAGTCAATAAACACTCCATGATGGCCTACCATGTGCACCGCTATTATGCTAATTACTGGGGATATTGTGATAAACAACATGTAGCCTCCATGCACGTGTGGGAGAGACAGACAAGTGACCAGCAGTTGCAGTGGCTGAAGTTTAGTATAATGGTGCCCTAGGGGACTGCTGGCGGTACACCCATCACAGTCCAGAAGGAGGTCAGCGGAGGCTTCTAGTGGGGAGGGACATGTAAACTAGTCTGATGGAGGTGTAGTAGTTAGCGAGGTGAACATTAGGGATGGGAGAAGGGTGGAGGAGGAGACAACAGACTCATGCAGGAGAGATGAGAGCAGAGAGCTTCTGGGACCTGTAAGGAGCCTAATGGCACTGTTACAACTATGGGAGGGGGAAGTGGGCGGGGCTGGCACACCATCCATCAATGTGGCTTTGGAGATCAATTAAGGAGTTGTTCAAATTTTGCTCTAGTGACAATATGAAAGTTGGAAGATTTTTAGGTGGAAGATAAGATGTTAGCAGTATCTTGGGGGTTGAGCTAGAGAATTGATTGTAGAAGATACGGAGAGCAGTTGGGAAGCTGTCCAGTAATTCAGCTAAGGTGAGGTTTCCTTGGTCCTCGTGATACACTAGATATTCACGGATCTCAGTTAATTAACATTACTGCTGAAGCACCTGACAGGTCCTGGCCCTCTGAAGACGGGCGCACTGCATGGAGGTGAAGAGCAAAGACCTGGAACCAGGTATGATTCCTGGTTCCCCAATCTCTAGCTGCACGAGTCTGAGCAATGGGGAAGTTCCTCAGATTTGAGAGGTGCTGGGAAAATGTAGAGACAGGCATGTAAGGGGTTCAGTACCACACTTGTCATATAAAAATGCGGGCTTAATAACCACTAGCTGTTTTTACTATTTTTATTACCTTTCCTCCCTCTACTCCGGCAATGCCCTGACCTCTGGCTTATTATAATAAGAGAATTACAGAATGTGGGAGTTGGGAGAGGTTGGAGGTATTTTGTTCAACCCTCCAGTCATAAGGAAATAAAGGGGAAGATATCCAGCAACTTGTTTGGGGTTGCACAGTGCTGACCTGAACCTCTTCACTGGTCTGCTTCTCTTACCACACACGTACCTGTGTATTTTGGTTACTACACTTAGCCTGAAGTACGGATTTTTCTCGTGTTTGTTGACAGCAGAGATTTCTTGCGTAAAAACCTCTAATTTGGAAAACTGTCTCACACACTTTGGAGGACATCGTTCAAATCCCACGATTTCCGATCACCTTAGAAACAAACACACAAACAAAGCAGTGAGATGAGCAGTTAAATTTGCAGACTACAAGGCTGGGTTGTTTCAGAAGAGGGGTCCCAAGTATCTGGAAGCCCCTCCTCGGGCGAGCCCCCCCTTCTCCCTCCCAAGCGCACGAGCACGTGGTGCTGGCGCCCTCACTTCTGCCCCCCGGATCCTCAGCCTTCCCTCTCCACTGAGAGCCCCGGGATCCGATTCAATCAAAGTAACAGCCGCGTAGGGAGGGCTGGGCTGGGGGATTCGGGCGCAGGGGTCCCAGCCCTCGCCCTGAGAGAGGAGGCAGACGCACGAACTTGACCTCCCCACACCCCTTAATGGACGCTGCGCACGAATTCCCTCCTCGGTTCGCACCGACCGCGCTCCTGTCCCCCAAAGGCGTCCTGCCTGGCGTGGCTGGTACCTGGCTCGGGAGAGCGGTGGCGGACAGGATGCTGCCTCGGGCCTCGGGCTCGCGGCCACCGGGGCCGGGTGGGCGCTGCCGCTCGCTGGCCGAGGGCTGGGGCCGGGCCGCTCGCCCGTCCGGGTCCCGGCTGCCGGCGCAGCACCCGGGGCGCCGCACGCTTTCCCCGGAGTTCCCCTCGGGCGCTGTCCTCTCGGCCGCCCGCGTCCGCGCCCCGCGCCCTCCGCGTCTCCTCCCGCCCGCTCCCGCAGCCGGAGCCTCGGGGCAGAGTTCAAGTTCAGCCCCGGCCGGTGCTCCCGATTTAGGAAAGGCCAGCGGGGCCGGAGGGCGCGGGTTTGCCCGGGGAGGGCGCCGGAGGCGGAGGGAGGAGGCCTCTGATTGGTCGGGGAGGGGGAGTGGAGGCACGGAGTTTCCCACAATGCTCCGGTGCGGTGCAGCCGCGGATGGATGCTGCGGGAAGGGGCTGCCATTTGCCGCCCCTGCCAGCGGCGCGCGGACCTGCTCGCTCTCCCGCCGCGGCGGCCGCCAGCGCCGTCCCCCGGCCCGGCCTCTGCAGCAGCGCCGCCTCGCCTCCCTCCGCGGCCGCCGGAGCGGTCGCCATGAACCCCAGCTCCTCGGCGGGAGAGGAGAAGGGGGCGACGGGCGGCAGCAGCAGCAGCGGCAGCGCCGGGAGCTGCTGCCTGGGCGCCGAGGGCGGCGCGGACCCGCGGGGCGCGGGCGCAGCGGCGGTGGCGGGGGCCGCTGCCCTGGAGGAGCCCGCGGCCGCCGGCCCGAAGGAGAAGGACGAGGCGCTGGAGGAGAAGCTGAGGAACTTAACTTTCCGGAAGCAGGTCTCTTACAGGTAGGCGCGGGAGCCGGCGGCAGCCAGGTGCGCCGGGGCGTGGGACCCGCTCTGCGCCCTCCGAGGGGCGCGGCCACGAAGTTGGGCACCTGGCGCGCGCGCGCTCTCCTTTTCTCACCCCCCTCTCCCCCTCTCCCCCCTCCCCACCCCCCTAATTCGTCCCCTCCCCCTCCCCCTCCCGGAGATGTGTTCTCTTGTCATCCCATCCTTTTGGGCTGGAGGAAAGCTACTGTCTGCTCCCCCCTGTGACAGGAGAGAAGCCTGGGTTCCTGAGGTCATAACAACGACAAGAACGCGCGCGCGTGGGAGGGTGGCGCACCCACAGAGACGCCTGGTTTCCTTGAGAGAAGTCCTCAAAGTTGTCCCTAAGCGGTGTCATCTTCAACCACTCCCCCTACCTTCCACATTTTGCTGGATGAACCTTTGGCACGAACTTGATCGTTGAGATCTCCCGGGGTAGGGAAGAATGCTTTTCACCGAGGAGAAATCCTTCTGAAAGTTGGACCTGCCTGGAAATCCCCCATTAAGGGAGAGTGGACGTGGCTCTCTGTAGATACGCAGCTGGTTATGGGGTTACAGCGCCCATGCTCCCTCCCTCTCTGCTCAGTGTGCCCAGAAGGAGGACTTGGCAGCCCACTGGCAGGCTAGGGCCGAGGTGGAGAATGGGACAGTGCTTGCTCTGAGGATGGGTGTACTTGCGAGACAAGGGCAGTGTGGGATGAATGGCCACCACTAATTGTGTCAGGATCCAGAAATGAGAAATGAGGATTCAGTAGGTTCCCCCCCCCCCCCCCCCGCAGGAATACAGATATTGAGAGGTTTGGAGGGTTTCAGAGACTGCCCTACTGCTTGTTAATTTTTAAAACTCAAGATGATAAGCACAGAATTTCAAAGATTTGCACTTGCTAGGGCTTGCAGCATATCTTGAAAAGGGGTCAGGAAAAGCATTCTCTTGACCTTACTCCTTTTGAGGTAGCGGTCCTTTCCAGAAACCCCCACAAAGTATCAAGCCTGTCACACTGTGTACTGTTATGTAAGCAAGAGCAGATGATAGAGGTGTGTGGGCTCGTGAGGTTGTGTGTTGCATTTATGGGCTCTGTGTGTGAATCACTGGGATCCCCATAGGCACTGCCTGGTCTGGAGGCCTCTGTCGCTAGGGTCTGGGCTCCATGTTGAAGTGATGGCTTCTGAGGCCTCTGAAAGGGTCTTCCTGGCAAGGCCGTTGCCCCCACACCCCTCGAGTGCCTTCTGTTCACTGTGCATTGAGGTAGTTTCCCATCCGACTTGCTCTTTTAGTTACTCACGTAGATCAGGACCTCATGGATCTTTCTCTTTATATTTTTGGTTTCTAAAATTAGACAGGTGGTAGAGAGTGGAGTAGCTCTCTGGAGAAATGTCGGGACACAGGCAGTTCTGCTCCCTAGTTTTGATGGCCTGGTGGCCCTGTGGGGAACAGGGACAACATTCAGCCTATTTAGGAACTGGGATTTGGAAGGCAGGGGGTAACGCACATGGAGGGTCTGTGATGCTGGTTTCCATCAGACTCCTCGCCGGGTAGGGCAACAAAGCCTGAGTTCACAAGGGAAGTCATTCCAGCCAGCCTCTTGGCAGGGGTCCTCCTCTGAGGGTCTGTCCTGGGAACGGGTACTGTGCTGGGCCATGGCTTACAGGATCACACGGTCACATTTGTATATGTAAGTGTGCACACACACAAACATAGACATAGACCCAGACACAGCGTTTTTCCTATGGAGGATAGAACCACCTATAGAAAATAGCTCCTACTTCGTGAACATTTCCTTTAAAACGAGGCTGTCAGGTTTCCAGTTCAGCAACCCACCTGCAGCAGAGCCACCTCAGGGGGCTTGTGAAAAACACCCACCGGCCCAGACTTCCAAAATCAACCCCTCCGTGCATGGGAATTTTTAATGGGCTCCTCCGGTAGTGTATCAGTGCACTGACATCTGAGTATCGCTGCCCTAGTTTTCCCCAAAGGCTAAACAATTGATCTTTGAACTCTTCAATTGTGCCCAGCCAAACAAAGCCAGGCAGTCCCAAAGTCAGGGCAAAGACAGCAGAGAGGTGGGTGATTTCATCTGGCACGTGTTTGTCCCGGGTAACCTGGAGAGTGTCCTCATTTTCATTATTGTCATTATTTTTAGAGTCATGGTCAGTGGCCTGCCCACTTGCCATGGCAGCCCCTGTGCAGGCCTTAGAGGGGGCTGGGTCAGATGATTTCACTGGGAGGTTAATGAATGGCCAGTAAAGAAAGAGCAGCTTCGGCTGGAGTTGGGTCTCAGCTCCTCAGTGAGGAATACCACCTCCCTCCGGGGGCACCTGAGGACAGCGACCGGTGGGGGAGAATGGAGGGGTATTAGCAAGACCTCCCAGAATGAAGTTTAGGCGAAAGGGTTCAGTAAGAGTGTGAAGTACGGCTGCTCGTGTCAGGGGGATCATTTAAGGTGGGAAAGAGGAGACTTGCAGGTGGGTCAAAAATATCTTTTGAAGAATATGGGTATTTGCAGAATGACACTTGACAGGAAAGAAGGGGGCTTTGGGAGAGGGTGTGCGTGTGCGTGTGTGTAGGGGGTCTCATCTGCTCCTTCTGTTGCTAAGGAACATATAATCTAGGGTTTAAAAATAAATGAGGAGTGGGTGGGCATATGCAGTGACTCCTGTCTTTTTAGGAACCAGAGCCCTTTACAAAAAGCCTTTAAATAAACGTTTCTGGAGGCAGATTATTCATTTTGCTCGACTTTTACTTTGTTAAGTGAAATAAACCCCTTTACATCTACCCCTCGATTTCCCCTCATTATCCTTTCTGTCTTGGCTCTTTGGGAACCATTTTTCCCATGAGAATTTTTTTCCTTTATTTCAGGTTCTGCTCCCCTGGAGCAAATAGTCTCTGTAGACTGGAGAGTCGAAGGTTTAGAAGGCAGTGCAAGCAGGCTGGCACTTTTCTCTTAAAATTACTACTTCCTTTCTCTTTGCAAATTACGGTGCTGCAACTGATACAGAGGTGTGGGGTTTTTAAAAAGCTGCTCTAAGAATTCCCATTTAAGTCAGTAATATTTAAAAAAAATATTATTTCAGAGACACACGGGGTGGGGGTGGGGGGCTAACTGATGTTTGTGGGCTTCTGTGGACCAAGCAGTGTGCTAAGTATTTCTGTGTGTCCTGCCGTCTCCACTCTTCACGACTGCTCTGTGCTGTGCTCCTGGTTGTCTCTGTTCTGCAGACAGCGAACCTGAGGCTTAGAGCTTGGGCAGGAGGCGGACTTGAAACTCAGATCCGACTTTAAACTTTAAACCCAAGTCTGACTCTAAATGACTTTCTTTTTAGACCACACCATGCTTTCCTGAACACTCATTTCTGGTTTGGACCCTCTCCGTGCGTGCGCACGGGTATGCTTGTGTGTGCGCGGTGTGGTATACACATTCTTCTGTGATATACCACAGATCATTATATATGATAGCTTGTATACTTTTTTCTTTGGTCTGTGCCCCTTTGGCTGTCTAATCTTAAGGAACCCCTCTGCCATTTCAGAGATGAAAAGGAATATAAATTCCTGATCACCAGAAAATAGATTGGTTTTGCTGCTGACAACAAAACCACCTCCATGACACCTGCCATCTCTATGAAGATACCCATCTTAGAGTTTTATCTGTCTTTTAATGAAAATCACACAGGTGTCCTGTAGGTGAACCTAGACCCAGCGAAGAGCCAGCCTGTCTGTTCCTCCAGGAGCAGCACAGAGGAAATGGAGTGGGGTTTTGTTTGAAGGAGGGCAGGGCAGTTACCATTACTTACAAGATGTTGGAGCCTGTGTTTCTGTGTCTCTACTTATCAACCAGGATGGGGAGACCAGACCATCCTTAACGGGAGTTTTTGGTAGGCGATAAAAATAGCAGCAAGGAGCATTAGCCTTCTCAGATTAGTCAACGAGGCACAAAGGATCTATTCTTTATAGGTTAATGGTAAGAACGTAGTATTTCCATTTTGGGTTTTGTTCTGCAAAGCAAGTGTGTGTGATTATAAGGAAGACAGCTGGGATGTTGAAAGCCATCAGGCGGGCACAGACATTGTTCTTCCTTGCATGGAAGTCAATAGTGCGCAGGGGAAGTTTTCTTTTGCATGTAAGTATACAGCATCCTCCATTGGAAATCCATTTTATTTATTTTAGGTTTTGATCTGCTATTTAGCTTTCAGGACCAGATGAAAACCTTGGTTCTAATGTAAGGTCTCCTACCTTCATAATTACTTAGGACTTGGCCGACAGTAGAGTTCCTCTATCAGGACACGCACCAGGCGAGATTGCACTTGAACCGCTCACTGTCCGGACGACTTAATCTGCTCTAATTGATCTTTTAGAGGCTTAATTTTTACGTGGAAGTTGGACAGCATTGGGTCCTGTGGCCTCAGGGGATGGAGAAGTGGAAGGGAGTTTCGATGGTGTTCAGTTCTTCACTGCTGTGTGGTGCCAGAGTAATTCAGACGAGAGCAAGCTTTTTGGAACACTTCGCTTCCTGATTTGAGGAAATGAAGACTCCTAGTGAGGGCCCAGGCCGGCTGCACCACCCAAGGCCTTCTGGGCTGGCATCGGGGCCACACATTCCCTGTTCAGCCCTGAGTGACCTTGAAGTGGGCTAAGGCATTCACTTGGCCACGAGAAGCATCTGGAAGGACCGTTGCCTACATGTTCGCTATGACATTTGCTTTCTTACACGAGTTTGCATTGGTCACACTGATCCTAATTATTTTTTCTGAGATCCTATAATTGCAGTTTTAGGATAATAGTTACCACAATTCAAAGACAATGTGTGAGCTTTTCTTACAGTAGCTAACTGAAGGAGGAAGGTAAGGAGAGAAACAGAATCTAACGTTAGGCTTTTTTTTTTTTTTTTCTTTGAAATTTAATTTGCTTGAAATAACTCGAATAATAGACTAATTTCAAATTGCTTGAATGGGTTGGAGCTGTTTGACTCTTGCAATTGTTTGAA